GCTCTACTCTCTTTGGGCAGTCACCCCTTCACTCACCTACCACACCTTCATGGATCTTGCTTTAGATAAGGGAGGCTGCCCCAAGGCTTCCCAGACCTGATCTTGCCGTCATGGTTGTTGCCTTATGGGCTAATCACATGGCTCTGTCTAGCCCTACACCATGCCCCAGACTTCACAGGTGTTATCACCAGGGATCCTAGTCTTCTCTGATTAAAAAAAAACCCAAATCCTGAATTTTTGGATAAAAAAAAGTAACCCAAAAAATCCACATTTTTCCTTGATTAAAATGAAATGCCTATATTTTTATATTAGTGGTGTTTCATTTTAATCAGGGAAAATGTGGATTTTTGAGTTACTTTTTTAATTTAAAAATTGGGGATTTTTTTATCAGAGAAAACCAGGATCCCTGGTTATCACCCAGGAGTGTTCGTTTAACATGCTCAGCTCCTCTCTGGGCTCCTGGACCCTCTGGTCCTGCTTTCACATTCAGCCCTCTTTCCAGGCCCCAGCCTTGCCTCAGGCCTTTCTCTGCCAAGACCTGCCTCTCCAGGCTATGGCTTCACCTGCCGTGTTCTCAGGCCTTTTTCTCCCAAGGCCTGTGCAGTTCCTGGGCTCTGGCCTGTTTACCCCAGCTCTGCGGTCCTGCTAGGAGCCGTACCACAGCCCTGCAGGCAGAAGCACCTCTCCTTGTGGCTCCCAGGCCTGGACTGCTAGACTAGCTCAGGCTCAGGGTTTATATAGATGCAGCCCCACCCCTTCCTGGTCAGCTGACTTCTTAATCAGCCCCTCCCCGCCTGCAAGCAGCAGGCACCCTAAGTGCCCTGTCACGGGGTCAGTTAAGCCAACACCTAAGGAGGAATCGCTGAACCCTAATTGGAGGAAAGAACTGGTCTGTCTCTTGTGGGGAACTGCACCTTTAAGAGGCTCTGGCATGACTCAGTTAGAACTGGCTGTTGTGCTGTGTTGGGCAATGCTGATACGTTAGCGTTCAGTGAATGAAGCAGACTGTCAGACTCCTGGGCTCTGTGTGATCACTGAACAATACTGTCACTCATAACTAAGACCCAGCCCTAGAAAGTCAGTGGCACGGAAACAGTGTGGATCCCAGTTGCTTGCAGCTGAGAACTGAGCTGGAATACGTATCTCATTGGAACGAGCAGCTATGGACATACTGGGTCCAATTGGTCATTCCTTCGACCTTGTGTAAATGGAGCAGGGAAATGCCAACAAATCAGAAAGACAGCATGCTACACTCACTCTGATGATGTATAAAGGCCTTCATGGGGTGCACAGAGATCAGCACCACACACCACCAGCCACTGCCCTTTGGACCCCTCCAGCTCACCACTGAACAGACTAGTGCCATCAGTTGACCCTTAGATCCATATGTATAATTCTGGGAAGAACTGATAAGCAGCTCTAGGACGCAAACACATTGCCTGGGTCACACAAGCCCTTTGCTTAGCAAAGCTGGTTCACTCTGTCCCTGAACAGGACTGGGCTACAATCCCAAACCCACAGCCTGCTTGTTGTGTAATGTGAGGTATGAATTGCCCTTTGGCACTGCAGTGGCATGCGGTGCCTCCTTGGCCAAGGACAGGAATCAAAGCTGAATGCAGCCAGCTGTCTGGGAAAGTCCAGAGTTCCTGTTCTAGAGTCATGATCTGGGGATGGGGATTGATTTAGTTTGCTGCAGAAAAGTCAGCCAGTAGGAGTAGTGGGGGCAAACAGCTTAGCTTGTTTTGAGATGGAGCCTGATTAATTTATGAGCTGCGTTATATGAGGATTTGGCTTGATGACCCTGAAGATCCCTCCCAGTTGTATGTTCTGAAGTTAATAAAAACATTATGTAGTCTGGTTTCCAAATGACTGCTCATCCCAATACCAGGGAGCTGGAGCCCAGTGCTCACAGAGGAATTCACACTTGACTTTTTGCTTTTGAAAATGTATATGCTGATTTCCCCCACTGTCACAAAGGGGCCCTAATACTATAATGTGCTATCTCAGGATTGTACAGTCAGCTCTCATGATCTTATAATACATCTCACCATATTTGGTGTTTGCTGTAAAGCTCCAGCTCCAGGAGTCATATGACTGCTGGAGAATCTTATTCTCACTGAATAAGAGGACATTTCTAGCTGCTGTGGTTGCAGAGAAAAAGCTTGAAAAAGACCCAAAAGGAGCAAACCCTGGAAAACAAATTAATTAAAAAATTAAGTATCCTATGAGTTTATGGCAAATTTTGAAGCCTATTAATTCACAGTCCACTAGAACAGGGCGGGGGGGCTCTAATGCTTGGACTTTACTTCCATCTCCCTCACTTTTCTCCTGTGATTGGAACTTACAAGGAGGTGGTTTGGCATTTCTACATACAGATGTGTACTGTAGGTGAGCCCCAGTGTACAAAGGACCCTCAGGTAGCAAGGGTGGATTTCAATGGGTGTGAGAAGCTTCTGTAGGAAGCAGTTCTTCCAAGCCTCAGCTCCTCAGGCAGAACATATAATTGTGCATTTAATTGTAAACAGAGGCTTAAATCCCCAGCAGATTAGCCTCATGCTGCTGGAGAAACATTCTTCCTTTTCAAGAAATGCTCTAGGGTCACTGCTGAGTGAGAAATTGGCAATAGCAGCTTGCATGAAAAATGAGTACCCCATTGTTTGAATATTTTGTGACTCTTAAAATGTCACTTGAAAGGGGCTGTGTTATTTGCTTCTGAAAATACATCTCCTGAGTCACCTCTGCTTATTCTGAACTAACATCCTTTTCTGCTCAGGAAGCCAGTCATTGTGGTTTGTTACCTTGTACCCAGTGCTGAGCCCATCTGTACTTGATTAACTCTGCTCCCACATCCATCCACATCAGAGGAAAGACTCTCCCAGCTTTGGATCCTGTCTTTCATGTTCTCTTCTAACTCAGTCCTCTATCTCACTGGTCTTTCATAATGCTGCTCTTTCAATGCTTCCCAGTTTGGGCTAGATTTTATTTCATTTATGAGGTGTCTGAATGGACTTAGGCACTGAAATGCGAGTCTATTCCACAAGTCCCTGAAAATCCATTAGTGCAAACGTAAGTGGGTCCTCCACTTCGTCATTGCTGATTTGTGCCTCAATCTTTTAATTTCATTACAAACACACAAAAAATAAAGTACTCTGAAAAGGCTGAAAGAGTCTTAACTTGTCCACAGCAGAAGGGTTTCATGTTTCATTTCAAATTGACTCGTCCTTTTCAGACTACACTACCCCACAGTGCACTGATTGATGCACTCAGTTTTGATCCCCCCCCCCCAAGGATTTTTTTTTTTTAGAGTTTTGTTTAATAGGAACTTTTGAAAGTTTTTGATTTTATTCCATTTTGAAATGGGAAAAAAAGAACGGAGACCATGGAATTTTCTGCATAAGGGAAACTCCAGTTCCTGCCCCAGGCTACTGAACAATTGGGAGTGTGTTTATGCTTAGGAGCTCCATCTGAGCCTGGGGATGCATCAAACCAGATGCTGTACACTCCAGTGGCAAGTGACAGCCTCTGCCCCCAGGAACTTACAATCAAACTTACAAGGCAAAGTGTGTTGGAAGGGCAGGCTCCTAATTCTTGTTTCCATGCCTGCAGCAGTATTAACTGGCTTTGTGCAGAAGCACTATGGCAGCTGGGCAGCTGGTATTAGCTCAGGGGCAGGCTGCACAAGTTGTAGAGGAGAAGGCAGGTGGCAGTTCTGTGCATGTGGGCAGAGGTGTAATAGGGCCACTCTGAACCCTGGGCGGTGGTGGTATGCCAGGGAAATGCCATCTGCCAGTGGTGGTGGTATGGCCAATTGCTAGTGGTGGCAGCATCTATTTCTGTGCCCCCCTCCCCAAAAGCAGTTGCTGCTCTGGTTGCTCCCATTCAGTTATGCTACTGCATGTGAGCAGCAATGGTTGCATAGATAGAAGCAGCTGTGTGGGCATTGAATATGGGGGCAAGAACTATGTTCTCCTTTTTCCCAGGTTTCCTTCCCCTGGTGCGATAAAAGAAGCCTAATTTGGGCTTGAGCCCCTTGTCCAGGCCAAGCTCCAAATGACCAAAAATGGGAAACAAGCCCATTTCAAGAGTGCAACGCCCTGAGTAGCAGATTGAACTGTTCCATGTAGAATGTCAGTCTGAAGACAATCTTTCTTTGTAAAGGAAATGATCCAGCCCCACACATTGTGAGGCAGCTCTTCTCCTTCCCCAGTTTTAGCAGCTGCAGGCTCCTGCTGAGACTCAAATACTCGATGGACAAAGGTGCCATTTAAAAAAGAAGCTTTCCTACCAATTTTGGCATGATTTGCAACAAAACCCTGCAAGTTCTTCCAGCTCACAGTTTCTGGTCAAACTATTTTGATGGTTTTGTCACTTACTGGCAGTTCTGGAAAGCTCTGCCTTAATTGCTTGTGCAATACTTGTACAATACATGAGCAAAATCACATTAGTTCACTTTTCATATTGTTTTCTTCTCAGCTGTCTCCTGCAAGTCATCCATTTAGAGCAGGGCCTGGAAATTACTTTCTGTTTGCTGTCTCAAAAGGATAGAAAAGGGTCAGAGGCTGCCAAAACTCCTGGACTGAAATTCTAGCCAAACAAATTCTTCTGAACTGTTTGCTCAGCGTTCCATAAGTAGCACACATTAGTGCACCCTGTTGATGCATCACATCACTGAGGCAACGCACAGAAGCAGTGCTGTCAGAATATCAACACTCAGTTACAGGGATCTCTTCTTCGACATATGAGGCCAGACTCTAGTCCACCTATTAGGTGTCTAAGTAGACTCGGGCACTGAAGTACTATCTTATTCCACCCAGCTTAAACTCCAGAACATCCATGTATGCAAAAGGATTTTTCTCCTCAATATTTTGCTGTGATTCATTTTTAAGGGTCAAATGCTGGGATGTTACAAAAGTAGGTACACTAATGAATCTTCAAGGACTTGATTAGGGTGGAAGTGTCAAGGACTACCTTCAGCTGCTAAGGTATGCAAAATATTCATTTGCACTGGCTGGGAGTTGAACCCAGATCTCCTACATAGCAAGCAAGAATTCTACCATTAAACCACCAATGCTTGACAGGAGCTTTAAACTACAAAGGTAGGCCATTCTCATGCGGAGGAACAGTAACAAAAGGGCTGGGAAGCCCTCTTGGCTAAACAGGGGTATCATGGTTCTCTTAAGAAAAAAGAAAGAGGCATACAAACAATAGAAGCTCAGGGCTTGCCCCAAGGAGGACTATACAACAATGGTCCACACTTGTAGGGAACAGATTCAAAGGGCTAAGGCGCCAACTGAACTAAAATTAGTGACAGGAGTCAAGGATAACAAGAATTCCTTCTTTAGGTGTGTAGGTAACAGGAGGAAAACAAATGGGAGTGTGGGGCTGCTGCTCAACAACTTAAGACAGCACTCAGGAGAAAACTGAACTCCTGAAGAACTACTTTGCTTCAGTCTTTCACTGGGCCAAGGGCAAAATCATGCCAGAGTAGGTACAGAATAAGCAGGGTAGGAATGACTGCCTTCCTACTATTACTGTGGAACTGGTGTGTGATCATTTGAAAAAAAAAAAGACACATATAAATCAGCAGGACTGCATGAACTTCATCTGAAGGTGCTGAAGGAACTGGCTGAAGTCATTGCAGGACTGCTGGCAAAACTTTTCTAGAACTCGTGGTGCTCCAGAGGTCCTTGAGGACTGGAAGAGGGCAATGTTGTGCCCATCTTCAAGAAAGGGAGGAGGGAGGACCCAGGTATCTATAGGCCAGTCAGCCTAACTTCTGTTCCAGGGAAAATCCTGGAAAAAATCATCAAGGAGTCTATATTGGTTACGCTTGCAGAAGGTAGGATTCTGAATGACAGCCAGCGTGGCTTCATCGCAGGCAGGTCTATTCTTACCAACTTCATCTCCTTTTACGATCAGGTAACTCGCCACCTGGATAATGGAGAGGAGGTTGACACTGTCTACCTTGACTTCCAAAAGGCCTTTGATCTGGTATCCCATGATGTTCTCATGAGTAAATTGGAGAACTGTGGACTCAACTGTGAGACAGTTAGGTGGGTAAGAAGCTGGCTGCAGGATAGGACCCAGAGAGTCCTAATGAATGGATGTGTGTCATCTTGGCAAGAAGTGGCCAGTGGTGTCCCTCAGGGTTCGGTGCTTGGTCCAGTGCTATTCAACTTCATCAATGATTTGGATGTGGGATTGAAGAGCTCACTGGCCAAGTTCATGGATGACACCAAGTTATGGGGAAGTGTAGTCATGCTTGAAGCTGGGCTGCAGATACAGGCAGACCTAGACAGGCGGCAAGTTGGGCAGATCGGAACCAGATGAAGTTCAACTTTGAGAAGTGTAAAGGGCTCCATCTGGGGACAAAACCCTCCTACACACCTATAGTGTTTGCCCTTGGCCACTGGGTTCCAGGGCTGGGGTACACACTCAGACCTCCGTGACCCTGGGGTTCTGTCCTCAAGTCAGCATTCAGCAGAGACTGGTGGGGTGGTAAACAGCTTCATCTTTATTAGGAACAGGATTCAGCAACACACATGCTCACAGCTTGTGGGGAGAGCAACAACCCACCACCAACAAGCCATCCCAACAGGGCATCAGGGGGAGAGACTGGAATGTTCCACTGCAGGCCTCTTACAGGTATATTCCATATACCACAACACCTACAGGCTTGGCAATGCCAAACTGACCAGCACCACAAATGAAAGGGACCTGGGGGTAATAATAGACAACAGCATGAATATGAGCTGGCAGTGAGACACAATAGCCAACAGGGCAAATAATACCCTGGCATGCATCAATCAATGCATCTCCAGCAAAACTAGGGAAGTGATTCTTCCACTCTACTCAGCATTGGTGAGACTGCAGCTGGAGTACTGCATCCAATACTGGGCGCTGCACTTCAACAAGGATGTGGTAAAGCTTGAGAGAGTCCAGAGAAGGGCCATCTGTATGAACAGAGATTTGCACGTCAAGCCATATGAGGAAAGGCTGAGGGACTCTTCAGCCTGAAAAAGAGAAGGCTGAGAGGGGACTTGATAGTGGCTTACCGCTACATCAGTGAAGTACATCAAGGCCTCGGTGAACAACTGTTCACCAGGGTGCCCTTGAGGATAACCAGGAGTAATGGCCATAAGCTCCTGGAGACCTTTTCAGGCTCAACATTAGGAAAAACTTTTTCATAGTCAGGGTGTCCAGACTGTGGAATAAGCTCCCTCCAGAGGTGGTGCAATCGCCTACCCTGGAAATCTTCCAGAGGAGACTAGACGGTCACCACGTTGGGGGTCACCTGGCTCCAGTTGTCTTTCCTGCCTAGTGCAGGGGGGCTGGACCTGATGATCTTCTGAGGTCCCTTCCAGACCCTTACAATCTATGAATCTATGAAGTGAATTGCACTGAGGCATGTAGGCCCATTTGGATACCTAAAAGGTGTTAACAGAATCTGGACCGTAGTGTACTCAGTGCTCAATAGTTAGATCAAATGGATTGTCAGCAATCAGCTCTCTAGAGGGAGCTAGTGATTTCAAATACTGGGTTTCCATCTCTTGATCTTGCCCTGTCAGTGTTTTCATTTGGGCATGTTTCTGCAATAGCCTTGGGCTGCAGCAGAGAACTCTGATGACAACCTTGCTACCAAGCCAAACTCATACAAGTACTGCCATAGTAGAGGCTTACTTCCTCCCTGCTTTGATTAGAACAGAAATAAAAATAAATTGATAATTACATGCATCTGAAGAGCTGAGGTTGGATTTCAATGTCACAAGGCCTGTAAAAGACTGTGAATCAGTTTGTACAATTGTGGTGAGGCACACCTTGCTCAGACATATTATATTGGTATGTACATTTGGGATCTATCTTATATATTCATCATACTGGCTTCCATGGGACTATGGGTTGCTTAGCAGTTGAAACTCAGGCCCCATATCCAATGACCCTAAATTAGGACTTAGAAGCCAGACTTCAGGCACCTGGTTTTGAAAGTTGTACTCACAGGGGTAACGATGAGGTTCTGCACCCTAGGTAGAAGCTGTGACCAGGTGGGTAGCAGTGGCAGTGGGTGCTATTCTTGCACCCTCTTTAAATGGGCACCTGGGACTGGTGCATTGGTTGCCCACCCCTAGTTGTGCTACTGGTCACAGCCCCAACTCATTTAACAGCAAGTCTGTTTCACACAAACTTACAAACCTTTTACAATTATAAGCAAGGTCTGTTAATGCTTCTTTCAATTACTCCATTCTGAAAATACACTTGCAAATAGACCTCCTGAATGGTGCCTGACATCACAATGATTCGTTTATTCATGGAGCATTATTGGTGGAGCTGTGTTGACTTAGATCAGGGATGTCAAACATACAGCTGGCTCACACAACCCCATTATCCAATCCCCATGGCCTTTGGGTTGGAGAGTCAAAACAGCTGGATGGAACTTTGTTCATGCCTCCCTCTTTTGTCCTAATGGCTATAGAAGCTCATGAGCCTTGACCATGCTAGCCCAGTGGGCTGGGCTTTGATGAGCCCTTAAAGTATTAGAGGCTTTATGATAGGGAAAGTGTGCATGGCACAGCTGAGTCTTTGTTGCAAAACTGCTCCAGCATAGCACATTCCTGATACATTACTGCAAAGCCTTGTCAATATCTTAAGAAACAACATGGCCTAATGCATACAGTGCTGCATAGGGAATCATGAGACTTCAGTTCCTTTTCAGGCTCTGTCATTGACTTGCTGTTTGAGCTTAGACAGGTCTGTCTCTTTGAATCTACCTAGATTTAAAAATGCTCTTCTGAAAAGGGGCTGTCTTATACTCTCTGGATGTGTCTACATGAGACATTTTACTGTGCAGTAGAGAAAATTACTGCACAGTAAATGTCACCATCTATATGTGCAGCCACTTACTTCCCAGTAATTTGCTCTATTCGGGAGTTAATTTGCTACCTGTAAATACAAGTAGCAAATTAAGTCCTGAGTAGTTACTGTACAGTAATGTATGTGTAGATGCTGACGTGGAGCAAATTTGCTCCTGGTCAGTCCCACCACCAGGGAGCTACCTGCAGCCCAGCCTCAGGGCCATGGAGATAGAAGTTTCTTCAGCTCCAGGGCTGGAGTGGCTCCTAGTCTGCCCCAGCCCCAGCCCCTTAAGGCTAGGGACAGACTTTACACATAAACCAGTTTAAGTGATCAGAAACTGGTTTAAACCTGTAACAGAACAGAAGTTCAGTGCATAAAAACCAGTTTAAAAATGGCAGAAATCAGTTTGAGATAAACCTGGTTGAATATAGTATCAGACTTAACTGATTTGAGTCAAACTGGTTTATGCAATGTCTGTCCCAGACTCCTTCTTGGTTTACGTTAAATCAGAGTCCCCCCCCACCATCCTGGCATGATCTCTGGACTGGGCAGGGCTCTCTGCTCCAGAGAGCTGGGCTGGCCCCTCCCCTCTACTCCCTGGATGCAGCTCCGGCAGAGACTGCACATACAGCAATGTCTGCCTGGCTTCCTGCTCCTCCCCACACCTCACAACTCCCTGCTCAAGCAGGGATTCCCACCTCCCCTCTATCTTACACAGACACCTCTCAGCATTAGCTAGCATACCACATGCTGGCTACGGTCTGTGTTGTGGGCGATGGGACCAAGGCAGACAGGACTATGTCAGCTTAGGGCTTTTTGGAGCTAATCAACAGGTAGCTGGTAATGTCCCTTGTTCCTTCCTTGGAAAAAGTTGTTTAAGAAGAGCTTGAACTAATGAGGTAGGCTTTTGTTGTCTTAATGGGTTGATAAATACTGAGTTAGGGGTGATGAACACTGTGTTATCAACTCCCTGTTGGGCTGCTCAGGATGGAGGGGAGGAACCCCTCTCTAATCAGAGTGCACTGCTGGGGCCTGGCCATGCCCCCACTCAGCTCAGCACTGAAAAAGGGAAGGGAGGGCTGCTTTAGCATCCCCTGGCTTCTAGCCTGAGCCACTGCAGGCATGTGCTGGCATTTCCTCAGTCCAGAGAGAGTGTCTGTTTGAATACAAACCTGTTCAGCCTAGCCAGGTTAGATTAACCTGCAAAGATTGAATCCTTTC